CTGAATCCCTCCAGTGGAATTATAAACCCCTAGGAAGGATAACTGAATCCCTCCAGTGGAATTATAACCCCCCAGGAAGGACATCTGAATCCCTCCAGTGGAATGTAAATCACCCTGCGTAAAATTTTGAATTGTAAACGCATTTTTTCAAACCCCTCCAGTGAAAAAGAATTCCCTCCGGTGGTCTCCAGTGGAGTTAAAATCTTACTACGAACTTCCGTGACTCACCAAAACTTATGTATGAGATTTGGTATATGCATACAAATTTTAAACATATCATATTCGTCAAATATGAAACGAATCTGAAAATTACGATAACCTAGAGGAGCCGATAAAGTTTAGGTACGCTCCTATTATAATTTGAATGTAATACTTTGTACTTATTCATTTTTGATAGTATAATTGCTACGTCTGTATCACGTGACTAGGGATGGGCAAGATTCGTTTTACAGAAACTTTTAATGTTTTTAGACTTTTAGAAGGGTTTACAACAATATAAGAAGCTTCCAAAATTTTAAAACTTTATTCTGTAGAATTTTGCTTTCATCAAACATCCAAATTTGTTACCCTAAAAGAAAATATAAAGCAAAAACGATTGTTTTTGGTCCGTTTTTGCCTTATATTTTCACATAGGATAACAAATTTGCATTAATAAAAAAACTTCTATGATACAATTTTAAATCGTTGGACCCTTCTTAGATTGTCGTAAAATTTTTGTAAAACCAATCTATGATATCTTTTTTCTAGTAAATTCCCCTCTAATATATATTCTATTCTCTTTGGGTACGGCCCCTGGATTGTTTAAACAAATATCAAAGAATATAAAGTACAAGGTGTCCCACGAATAGTTTTGAATAACTTTTTTCATACACTGCACTAGGGGTATTAGCTATTATTTGACAATTGTTGTTAATAATCTTGATTTCAAGATATTACGAGTATTCATCTCTGGATCAGATAATGAATGAAACGCATCTAAGAAATGTAAGCATAAAAAAAATTATTGGGCAACATAGTAAATGGGTAAATTTTAGTCAGAGGTTTACACTGAAATAAAATTCGTGGAAAAAATGCTGCAACGAAGACGACATTTGGAGGCAGCCTGTCTGCAGTATAGAGATATGGTTAACGAACACACCACGCCAAAAATGGTAAGTGTAAAGTTTTGAAATATATAAATAAAATTCGTCAAATTTTTCGCCTGTTTTTGCGTCGAACCACAATTTGAACAACTTTTTTCGCCTTTAGAAATTATTAACTTTATTTTTATTATTATACCATTAAATTATTAGTATTATTATTATTATCATTATTATTATTATTATTATGATCTTCTACATTAATTACTAAAAATCTAATTAAGAAGTCTGTAGATCCAAAATCTATTGAGTATCCTGTATTAACTGGAAAAGGTAAACCTTTAAAACTTAAAAATTAAGTAAAACATAAAAAGTCGTCATTGATCTTACAATTAGAATTTTTTTTAATAACTAACAAATTTGAAAATATATATTGATATAGAATCATATAGAGTATACAGAAAACGTCAGAGATTGGTCTTTAAAGTATACGTTCTACCATCAGAGATGGGCATCTTTACAGTATACACCCTACCATTAGAGATGGGCATCTTTACAGTATACACCCTACCATTAGAGATGGGCATCTTTACAGTATACGCCCTACCATTAGAGATTGGGATCTTTACAGTATACGCCCTACCATTAGAGATTGACATATTTACAGTATAGACCCTACCATTAGAGAATGACATCTTTACAGTATACGCCCTACCATTAGAGATTGACATCTTTACAGTATACACCATACCATTAGAGGTTGACATCTTTACAGTATACACCATACCATTAGAGATTGACATCTTTACAGTATACACCATACCATTAGAGGTTGCAGGATCTTTACAGTATACGCCCTACCATTAGAGATTGACATATTTACAGTATAGACCCTACCATTAGAGATTGGCATCTTTACATTATACACTCTACCATTAGAGGTTGGGATCTTTACAGTATACGCCCTACCATTAGAGATGGGCATCTTTACAGTATAGACCCTACCATTAGAGATTGGGATCTTTACAGTATACAGTACACCCTACCATTAGAGATGGGCATCTTTACAGTATAGACCCTACCATTAGAGATTGACATCTTTACAGTATACACCCTACCATTAGAGGTTGGCATGTTTACAGTATACACCCTATCATTAGAGATTGGCATCTTTACAGTAAACACCCTAAGATTGGCATTTTACAGTATACACCCTACCATTAGAGATGGGCATCTTTACAGTATACACCCTACCATTAGAGATGGGCATCTTTACAGCTTATAGTATACACCTTACCGTTAGAGATGGGCATCTTTACAGTATACACCCTACCATTAGAGATGGGTATCTTTACATTATACACCCTACCATCAGAGATGGGCATCTTTACAGTATACACCCTACCACCCTACCATTACAGATGGGCATCTTTAACGTGAACAAGCGAAATATTTCACAACGAACGAAATTTTTCTTGAACAAGGAATCGTTCAGAAAAATAAACGAACGATGCAAGACAAACGAATTGGTTCGTTCAGGTAACTAAATAAACGAATGCTTTTTCTTTAGGAACGAATAAATAACCAAATAAAAATCGTTGACGATCGTTCAAATTTTTCGACTTTTTAAACAACCTTGAAAAAACGATAGTTTTTTTTTAATTAATTAAGGATTTTTAAAAATAAACTTTTTTAATTTGTTTTAAAATATTTTTAAATAAAACGTTCAAACCTTTCATGGGGCCATGCGAGATGCCACGAAAAATCGTGTTCAATCGGTTTCAAGTTTTGACACTTATAATTCCAAACTTAGTTAACGAGAATTGTGAATGTCTAATATGGATGTTTGATATATTAAAATTCCGACACTACCTTTATTCAAAGTCAAAGTTTTTTAAAAGCCAATTTTATTTCTTCTCCTTGCATGTGCCTGACACATCACACCAAAAGGTTTGCGTGTCAGAAATTTTGTATACAATGCATGGAACTTATTTTTAACAAAAAACTACCTGCACTTGTTTTTGAAAATTTATAATCACGGTTGATTTATCGCTTATACATGTTTTGCAATGTTTCCAATAGAACGGAAACTATTGATAACATTAATCTTGTGATAAAGTATCGGAACAGCTACAGATAAACCCAGAACTGGGAAGTATCGAAAAATGTCGTCTTGACAATTTTTTATTGGGTTTTACACTTTTATACCTAAATTTCAGTAATTGTAAAAACCTCAGAATATGTATAATATAGAATAACAGGTGGCAGCATTTGGTTTGGGAAGTGTTGGACTGTGGGGGTTATGCAGTACAATACATAAATGTCCAGATGTTCAGTAATCTTTGGGGGGAATTTTGAAGATTCACTATCCAAACTTTCTCTTGTTATCTTTTTATCATTACTTCAATTAATCAAACACGTATTTTCAAAACTGTTTCAAATAGTTTTCTTCCTTTCAAAATTTGAAAAAGAAAACCAAAACAAAATGGAAATAATTGGGGTAACTTTTCCGCCCCCCCCCCTCCCTCCCTTCGGGCCCGAGCAAGGCCAAACTGTGTAACCTCAAATAA